AGAAGGAATTCAGGTAAACAAGCCAATCAGTAAAGGGACAATAGGTTTGGGAAAACAAGTTGGGACAAGTTTCAACATGTTGGGGACAAGTCTCAACATGTTAGGGACAAGTCTCAACATGCTGTGCAGCATAGAGGCCTGTGGGGGCTGCAGTTGTCAATAGTGCAGCCATGTTTAAATAGCATATATCCCCACACAGGCCCATGGGGAAATGGGGGAGAAATTGCTCTGCCCAGAGCCAGGGTCAAGACCCAAGGCCCCTTGGCCTAAGTTTTCTCATCTTTATGTGGGGTCAGTCATGGAACCTCAAATTGTTGGGAAAATTCAGTGAGTTAATATGTGAAAGAGCCTAGCACATTGCCTGCTGCATGGTAACTATCAGTAGTAGTCATATCCACATCCTTCACAGTTCGGGCTGGATGTCACCTCCTCCAGGAAGTCTTCCCTGACTTTCTCAAGCTGAGTTTGGTATCCAAGTCTCCTGCGCTTCCTGGTCCTTTGACTGATCACTCAATGTTATAATGACCCCTTTATTTGTCTTTCTACCACACTCAACAGTAAGCCCCAAGAAAGCATTGTGCTACATCTTGCTCCCTGTTGGATCCCAGTTTGGATGGCTCAGGTAGGAGTGACAAGCATATTTTAGGTGAATGAGACTTATGAGAAGAACATGTATCCTGGAGCTATAACAGAACTACCACAAGTGGGTGGCTTTAACAAACAGAAATTTATCTTCTCACTGTTTAGGAGCCTAAAAGGCCAAATTCAGGGCGCTGGCTCTAGGGGAAGGCTTTCCCTCTCTGCTGGCTCTGGGGGAAGGTCCTTGTCTCTTTTCAGCTTCTGTTCCTCGGTACCTTGAAGATCTTCATGTGGCATGGCATCTATCTTCCCCCATCTCTGCATGCTTCTTTCTGCCTAATCAGCTCGTTTAATATCTCAAAGGTGATTGGCTTAAGGCATCCTAGACACTGATACGGTCTCATTAACATAACAAAGAAGACTCTATTCCCAAATGGGATTATATCTGAAAGGATAGGGGTTAGGATTTACAACATATATTTTTGGGGGACACAATTCAATCCATAACATCATTTTACACCTTTAGTCAGCCTCAAATTCTTTCAACTTTTAATTTTGAAATGATTATCGACTTAAAGGAAGTTGCAAAAATAGTAGAGTCCCATATACCCTACACCCAGCTTCCCCCAATGGTGACATCTTATATACCCCCCAATGTCAAACCTAGGAAATTGACACTGGTACAATACCGTTAATTAGACTACAGAACACATTCAATTTTCAAATCCTTTTTTTGAAGTAGACAGGAAACAGACTTTTTATAATACATGCCGTACTCCTGTGAGGTCCTGGTAGACCCAGCAAAAGAGGAAATGGGACTTTATGACGTTCTTCTTGGATTAAAGTGTCTTGGAGGGTCTGATTTGTCCCCTAGAACGCGAATTCCCCAAGGATTGAAATGACAGGCAGCGAATGCTGGACTAAATTTACAGTTCTAGTTTTGATTCTTCAATTCAAAAGTTGAGTGACCTCTCTGGACCTCAGTTTTCCCGTGTGTAACATAGGAGATGGACCTCAAAGCCTTCTAGGATCTTTTCTCTCCACATCACACCAACATTACTGCGCAGCAAGCTGGCTGACTTTTCTTTGCAGTGAACGCGAGCCCGCGGCGGAGCAACGCCTTGGCTGCGGTGGGTTCCGCCCCCTTTGCCCCGCCCCTCGGGCACCACCCCCGGCCCGGGTAGCACCCTTGACCCCGCCCCCAGGCCGTGCGTCCACCGGAAGTGCCCGCGCGCGGGCAGCTCGCTTCCGCCCGGCAGGTGACAGCCGCGGGGCTCGGAGCGGCTGGCAGCACGGACACGCTGGGAGAGCGGGAGGAGGAGGCTGCGGACATTTTGCTGCCGAGCCAAGCCAGCCGTGGCGCCGGGAGCCGCTCTCGGTCTTGCGGGTGAGGAAGCAGGGAGCCCGACGCGGCAGGAGAAGAAGTGGGGCGGGGAGTCGGGGGTCTGAGGTGAGGGGTTTGCGAGGTCAGAGGTCACGGAGAGGACGGGGCGCTAAGTGGGGACGCGAGCGGCCTCCCTGGCCGGGAGGAGACAGAGGGAGTGCAGGTTCATTCATTCCCGCCCACTTGGCCTCCGGCCCGCACCCCGGCCGTGCCAGGCCCACAGCCCACCTCCTCCCGGGAGAAGCCCCCAGACTCAGGCCCGAGGAGACCACGCCTGCCCGAAGAGGAAACTCCTCTTTGGGTCTTGGTTTTCCCCTTCACACTGACCCTCATGGCCAGCCTCAGGCCTCCTCTTCACTAAGGGCCTTTATCTCCTTGCCAAGGTTTGAAAAGAAAGGAGAAACGACCCTGGGTCGCCCGCTCCCTGGGAGTATTTGGGCTCAGTCTGTGCGTTGGCGCCTCAGGGACAAGTTGAATCAAGACACGTATAATAATGCTAAAATTATCGCTATTGGTTATTGACCCCTATTGTGTGCCAAGATCTGTGCTACAATACCGCGTTTAAACCTCGATACAACCCTTGTGGGATAGCTACTGTTGCTATTCCCTTTTTATCGCTGAGGAAACTGAGGCGCAGAGAGTCTAAATCACACATGTAAAATCAACCAGGTAGTGTACACAGTGCCAAGATTCCTATATAGGCTTTCAGGGGCCTGCAAAGTGCAGAGACAGACTGGAACAGGGCTGAGTTGTAGAGGCTATTTAATACTTTCAGCTGCCATTGTATTTATTTGGATCTATGTAACAACAATAAAGATGTAGCTTTATTGCTTCTCATCTGATCTTCATAAGGGGCCTTTATGCCCTGGCCTCTGATTTGCTTTCTTTAGGATGAAACAATCCTGCAGGCTGTTGCTATACACCTTTCAGGGGAAGAGTGGAAGTTTTTCCTGACTATTAGGAACTGTGAGACATAAAGCAGCCTATCTGGGGAGCTAATATAAGAATATCAGGAACCTCTCTTGCGGGTGCTTGAGCTGCATTCCTTTTGGAATAAAGAGAGAGGAACCACATGACCCCTACAGGATCTTTTGGCCTTAGGTTCCAGAAGATGTATTCAAGGGAAAGGTCTGTGCCTCTTTGAAAAATGTGCAAGCCCCAAGCTTCTTGCCTGGGAGATGGTGAGGTGGTTTGGTGGCCAGAGGACTACGCTCTGTGAGTCTGAGCCTTTATTCCTTTGCAGACATCCACTCGCTCTGATTCTGCCTCAGTTTCCCTGACAACAGCATGAGAAAGACCTGCTGCTTTTCTACCCACTCCTGGGTGTTATAAACCTAGTGAATCTGTTAAGGTTTCTACATGCTGCTGAAGAAAGCTGTGATGTAAATATTACTGTAGTACCTTTTATTTTTTTTAACCTCCATGATCTGTTCTCCTAATTATTGAATTCACAGAAACTTAATATTGTCATCCCATTCTTCCAAGGGAGAATTTGAGTGAAGCAACTTGTCACAGATAATAGGAACATGAGCAGAGCTCTGAGCCTCTGGTTCCCTGCCCTGAGTTGAGCTCACTGGACTCTTCCAACCTCTTAGAAACTGTTAGGAGGAACAGCTTCACAGGTTATCAAAGAATCAGATCCCTCATAGGCTGTGTGAATTGAGCAAGCCTGAATGGCTTGAAGGGGCTTAGAGGTACAATAGAAAGAGCACGCCCCAACTTCCCATCAGTCAGCCCTGGATTCCAACCTCAGTTCAGCAGCTTACTGGTAGTGTCACCTGGACAACTTAGGCTGGGCCTCCTTTACCTCAACTCAAAAATAATACTGAGTCCCCACCTCCCACACACAGGTGGTTGTAGGGGTTAAATGAGGACACTTGTGCAGTGTGCGTTGCACAGAGCCTGGTATTGTGGTGCGTGTCTTGACCTTAGGCCAGTTGATGCTGAGAGGGCCTGTGCCTGAGGAATGCTGCCAGCCGTGGTTTGTGGGGCGTTACTTCCTTCTGCAAACAGCGACCTTTATGTACACAGGACTTCTTGGACCCTTCTTGTTTCACTTCCTCAAAGTACTTCAGAACAAGCTCAGTCTGTCAGTCCTGCTGGCTCTGGGCTTGGACTTTAATCTTTTTCTGATCATCATCTTGTATATCTCAACTGCTCACTTCCCGGAAAAGCCCCACTCTGGCACAAAGGCTTTGATAGGCAAGCAGTGAGCAAGCACAGCTTGGGTATGGGTTTTGCACTTTGGTGTTATTTTTTAAATCTGAGGGGACGTCTGTTCTTTGAAGATGTTCCCTTTTCTGAAGAGGTCTTTTTGCCTAAGATAGGTAGTTGATAAATTATCACAGCCCAGAAGTGATCTTTCTGTTCTTTGTCTCTTCACACAGAGGGGAACAAATACTCCAGAGAGAAAATACCACTCAAGCAGTTAGGGAGTCCTTTAAAAAAAAAAAAAAAAAATCCTGCTTGAAAATCCATCAGTGGCTCCTCATTGCCCTCAGGTTAAAACTCAGGCTTCTTAGCATGGCATTCAAGCCTTTTGGGAATTGACCCCCTTGGCTCTCCTATGGAGACCTTTGTGGCGCAGTGGTTAAGAGCTATGGCTGCTAAACAAAAGGTCAGCAGTTCAAATCCACCAGATACTCCTTGGAAACCCTACGGGGCAGTTCTGCTCTGTCCTGTAGGGTCGCTATGAGTTGGAATCAACTCGATGGCAATGAGTTTTGGCTCTCCTGTCCCACATTTCCACCTCCTCCCAAGTGCCAGTCGGACTCAGCTGCTTGCTTCTTCTGCAAGCCCCAGCTTTGTACCGCTCTGTCTTTGTGCTCTTTCCTCTCCCTGAACACTGTTTCCTGCACCTCCCCACCCCCCCACCTTCTTGCCTGGACCACTGCTGTTGCTTTCCATCTGATCATCACCCCATCTTGCAGGCGTGAGCTAAATGGCCCTTCTTGATGTCCTGTGGCTCTGATCACAATGGATGTGATTTTTACTTGGCTGTCTTCTGAGTAAACAGCTCTAATTCCTTAATGCCTGACAGGGACCTGTCTGTCTCTAGCACCTAGTGAAAGATTTGGCACGTAGTAGGTGCTCAGTAAAAATTTGGTGAATGAACGAATGAATGAATATTGCACTGAATTGTTAGAATTCCCTGGTTCCTAAGAAATTTAAAGCACTTTGCACATGGTCCCTTGCCTATCCTCATGTCACCACAGGGGATAGGGAGGAACCTGACTAGTAATTGATTAACTACTGGAGAACTGCTATTACTATTACCCAGCCAGCCACCAGAGTGCTTCAGAGTCTCTAGAGACTTGGGTGGTAGCAAGGAGGTGCTGGGGGTAAACTCTCCCTTTGTAGTAATCATAGTGGCATTGATTGAACCTTGGTACACTCTGGGCCCTGCTGAAGGTTTTGTATGCATTGACTTGCTTTAGCTTCACAAACCTCTGAGGTGTGTACCACTATGATGTTGTTAGGTGCTGTCAAGTCGGTTCCAACTCATAGCACCCCTGTGTACAACAGAACAAAGCATTGCCCAGTCCTGTGCCATACTCACAATCGTTGCTATTTTTGAGCCCATTGTTGCAGCCACTGTGTCAGTCCACCTCGTTGAGGGTCTTCCTCTTTGTCGCTGACCCCCTACTTACCAAACACAGTGTGCTTCTCTGGGGATTGGTCCCTCCTGTTAACATGTCCAAAGTACGTGGGACAAATCTTGCCATCCTCACTTCCAAGGAGAATTCTGGCTGTACTTCTTCCGAGACAAATTTGTTCATTCTTCTGGCAGCCCATGGTATATTTGACGTATTTCGCCAACACCATAATTCAAAGGCATCAGTTCTTTTTTGGTCTTCCTTATTCATTGTCCAGCTTTCACATGCATATGAGGCAATTGAAAACACCATGGCTTGGGTCAGGTGCACCTTAATCCTCAAAGTGACATCTTTGCTTTTTAACACTTTGAAGAGGTCTTTTGCAGCAGGTTTGCCCAGTGCAATATGTTGTTTGATTTCTTGACTGCTGCTTCCATGGGCATTAATTGTGGATCCAAGTAAAATGAAATCCCTGACAACTTTAATCTTTTCTCCGTTGTCTTTGGTCTTCATCAGTGTTTCAAGTCCTCTTTACTTTCAGCAAGCAAGGTTGTGTCATCTGCGTAGCACAATGTACCATTATAATTCTCATTTTATAGTTGTAGTCTGGTTCTGCCTGTTATGTTGTGTAGACCCTGAGAGAGCCCCTATAATCCCTGCTGCGACTACCCCCTTCCCACTTCTTTGTTCTTGGATTGTCTCTCGTAATATTATGAAGCTGAGGGGGTTGGGCTCCCAAGCCTCATACTCTTTGGATCTTTTCCCTTGGACTTGACCTCTGACCTCTATCAAGAGGGTCTCCCTGAAATCTGGAGACCTCTTCTAGTTAAGGTAAGAGAATGGCTGATTGAGTCTAGGCTGCCCAGAGTTCATCAGCCCAGACGCTTTAGTCACTGATTCCCCCAAGGTACCATCTCCCCTGTGGACTCTGAGCTGGAAGATGGTAGATTTGGAAGTCAGACCTCAAAAGCTTTAAAACCAACCCTTCAGTGTCTGTTTCCAGCTGCCTAAACAGTCGAGCTCCATAGAGGTATAGACCTGGGTGGCAGATGAATTTCACAACACCCTAATTGCTTTTAAAATCTTAAGTATATTGAGAGTGGAATGAAGAAATTTCATTACAGCCAGCTGTTGGGTCTGCTTCTGTAGTCTTCATTCTCTGACCTCTAATGGCTGGGTGGCTTGGTGTCAAGACATTTAGGACAGAAAACTTTGTAAGTCCAGCATTCATTCATTCATTATTTATTGAGCCATAGGTATGATGATAGGTAAACAAGCCAAGCATAGTTTATACCCTTAGGAACTTATTACATGTTAACAAGGGAGAAAGATAAAGAAATAGAAAAAAATGATTATAAAAATTGATAAGCCGTGAAGGAAACAAACAGGCATAGCAGCCAGAACCTG